GGTGAAATTTACTTCCAGATTTGTCAGCTGATGAAAGAACACAAAGAAAAGAATTATGAGGGTAAGGAATGTTTCAGACTGAGTTGCAGAAGTGGTTTATTTTACTAGCTTGTATTTATGACTTGAATTTTTAAATACTGTGTAGGTTTTGAGACTAATACTGCTTTCTGAGACAACCATCTAGGTAAGATTACCTTATCATCATGGCTTGTTGGCACTCTGGTAACTAAAGCCCCACACCTTGAATTTAGAGGGGAATTGCCTTTTATATTGTGTTCCTCTCCTTAGCAAAGAATGCAACTTGGCGGGGGGGGGGGTCAGTATTAGCATATCGTTCAGTCTTTTAAATTTATCTCTACAATATTTCATATTTTTTGATGCTGCTGAAAGTGGTATTGCTTTTTAAATTTGTTTTCCAGTTGTCGATTGCTTTCATAGAAGTACAATTGATTTTTATATATTGACCTTGTATCCTGTAACCTTGCTAAAACTCATGTACTAGTTCTAATAGAGTTTTTTGGTAGATTACTTAGGATTTTTCACATATGTGATCATATGGTCTTGCAGAGAAAACTAGTTACACTTCTTTATTTCCAATCTGAATACCTTTTAAATTTTTTTTTTTTTTTAAACTAACAAGGGCTTCCACTACAACACTGAATAGATAATATGAGAGTGAACATCCTTGTTTTGTTTCTGATTGTAGGGGTACCTTTCGCCATGTAAGAATTATGTTAGTCATAGGTTTTTTATAGAAATCCTTTGTCAGAAAGAAGTTTTTTTTCTATTGCTTATTTAATGAGTGTTTTTTTTAATCATAAATGCATGTTTTATTAAGTACCTTTTCTGTATCTTTTGAGGTGATCATATGATTTATATCTTTTATTAACATGGTGAATTACATCAATTCATTTTTGAAAGTTAAACCAACCTTAAATTTATAGGATGAACTAGTCATCATGTATTAGCTTTTGAAGGATTTTGCGAGTGTTTTGATGAGAGACCTTTCCTGTACTTCCCTTTGCTTGTAAAATGCCTTTGACTGGTAACATCATTAATGAAAAGAGTTGGGAAAGATTCCCTTCTCTTCTGCTTCCTGAAAGAGTTTGTGTAGAGCTAGTATTATTCCTTAACTGTTTAATAGAATTCACCACTGATGCCATTTGGGCCTCTGGTTATATTTTGGGAAGATTTTAAATTATAAAATAAATTTCTTTAATTGGTATAGAACTATTCGCATCTTTGTAATTTGTCTTTCAGGAC